CGTTTCAAAAGTACCGGTTTGGCACCGGTATCGGATAAAACCTAAACGATACCCATCCCTAGTAATAATACCCCTCAAAGACCATGACAAACCGGACCAACTCTGTGCTTAGGATACAAACAGCAAACACGAGAGGTCAGACCAGGTGGTTTTAATACAAACTAGACAAAATCTACACATGGAAATAAGCAAACCTTTAAATGTTTGTCAAAAATCTCTGATCAGAATATTGCTTTTGTCTCTGTGTTGTTCTGATATTATATTTTCTTATCATCAGAAGATATTTCTAATTTGATCCTTTTCCCTCAGTGAAATTTTTTTTCCCCATCGCTCGACTGATCGATTAAAGATTTACCTGAAAAGGTTTGACGCCTCCAGATCACTGCCTGCTTTTGGTCACATGTCTGTTTCTCTCTGCTCAGCTCCTCCACCTCCAAAGAGAGCCCCCACCACAGCCCTGTCAATGCGCTCAAAGTCGATGACGTCTGAACTCGAGGAACTCGGTAAGAGGTGGAGTTTTGACTTTGGTAACTCACAATGGCAAATGGGAGCAAGTGTCTCACAGAAGATCTTTTCTGTACCTCTTTCTCATGGTTGGTTAATCTCTCAATAGTGGATAAAGGTAAGCAGATGATGCTGTATAACCTTCTGCCATCCATTATGCCCAACTGCATATTCATTTGCTCACAGTGGCTGATTGAGGCTTTTGTTCAGACTAATGCAATATGCGTTTCCATCATCTGGTCGCTTTAGTTTGTCTTAAAGAACAAAATAGAAGAAAAACGCTTTTCCTCCCTCATCTCCTCTCCGCCTTTGCATGAAGTGCTCTTGCTTCTGGATGCCCACACTCATCCACACCCATGAGTTGTTGCTTCTGCTGCAAAGAGCAAACGAGTAAAAAGAGCATTAGTGTGACTGTATCGTCGTCGTCTTTCTGTTTGTCCGCGTGTACGATGTAGTGCTGGGCGATATGACGATATATATTGTGTGGACAATAGAAAAGTGTCTATCGTGGCTTTCTATCGTTTCTAACCTAATTTTTATAAATTATTACATAAAATATATCATTAACCCTTTAAAACCAGTCGGAGCGGACACGCTCCGTTTTGCGTAACTATTTTTAAATCCCGGTAGCTCTGCAACCAC